ACAGGGAAGAATGTTGTACCTGTCAAAGTGTACGTAGTGGTCAGGTGACTGATCATAAATAAATAAATAAATGAGGGAACTAGGGAAGTGATATTCACCATGCCACATCACATAGGTAGAAGCTAAATACAGAGCCCGTGACCCTCTGGACAGCGTTTACTGCAGTGTATACCCCAGTGACCAGATGCTTTTTCTGCTACCACTTCTCTTTGGCATCTTCAGTTGGGAGGGCAGATTTTGCGTAACAGATGATCAGAATGGATCTCTGCCCATTATACATAGAGAAAAGTTACTACAAATACTGTGCTAAATAGTAAGAATGGTGGCCTTCTAAGAACTTGATTAATTATAGGCTAAAATGAAAACAAACGAGTCAATTTGTAAGAAAACATTAACCACTTGGAACGGTAACATTTACATTATAATTACCAAAATTCATTTTATGGAATCATACTGCAAAAATAATTTTTTCCTACAAAGTTTAGGATGCAGCAAAATCAATCCTTTCATCCTGGGAACATCTTTTACTGAGTGTTCAGAGAGGGGAGAAAGAACTAGACAGCTCATGGGTATTTTTTCTATTTTTAGTATTCTGCCATCAAGTTTGAGGTGCACATTTCAATATCATCTAAACAGAAAACAAGCAAATATTTAAAGGTTTTCACAGCCTTTTCATCAAAGGGAAAGGGGGAAATGTTCCTTGCCACATCATAGTCTACAAAGTGCTTATCAGGACACGAAGTCTTTTTGTGTTCCTGAGATAGGTCTGAAAATTTTACCCAGTATTGAATGTATACCTGAAGTGGTCAAACAGTACTTTTTATAAAAAGGTTTTCTACCTAAGATTATAGTTTTAAGAATGGCCACAATTAACTTATCATGCAAAAATTCTCAGACTACACACTGAGAAATTCGTCAATGCACATTTACCACCTTATTGCATTTTTAAAAATCTTTATTCTGAACTGAACTGGTAATTCCCAATCAGCCTAAGCAAAGGCATGCCTGCTAACAGGATTTGCTTAGAGCAGAGGTGATGATAAAAGATAGGAATAATCCAAAGACCCTCTGCATAGCAATCTGGGAGTAGAACATTGTCAGTGGAGTCCAAGTGAGCAAATTTCACACACTCCATTTAGTGGAAAGTGGGCCTGCTCCTTTTCCATCCAGGGAACAACTGTTCACAAACGGACCACTGCCCAGAGTCTGGAGTAAGAACCCTCATTTTAGGACACTCTTCCACACAAATAAATACCTAAAAACTAAAAAGGGGAGGGGGTGGGTGCATATCAAGAAACTTAAGAAAAATGAAATAGTAATAGAAACCAAAACCTTCAAAAAAAGGAAATAATGTCTATATGGAATTCACTCAATAGCAGTAACAAAAATTTCAGATTTTCTTGTAGTTTGTTCCTAAAAGATTTGATTTTACTTTATTGGGCACAATAGGAACTAAATTATTAATAAAATAAAAGCTTGTTTATTTTTTATGTTTTGCTGTGGATAATTTGTACAAAGGTTCCAGATCTCTGAGATTTACTGTAAAATGGATCTTTTGAGGTGAAAGTAGAAATACCACATTCTACTGAAAAATGAAATGAATATCTCAAAGGAACAAAGAGTCGTCTGCCATGTGCTTTTTTTAAGTGCCCATGCTGGAAAAAAATTTCTCTATAATATGAAGATGCTGGTACAACTTTTCCTATTACACATTTTCTTACACAACCACATGCGTTACATTTATAGACAGATTTACAATTTGAAAGGGAAAAAGTTCTCTTAATAAAATTAGTTTTTTGTGTTTTTTTTTTTGTTGTTTTTTACAAATTGTAGTCCAACCAAAGTTCTGTGTTCTCACTCAGCTGATACATTATCTCCATTGGGTGTGTGGGTCAGAAAAACACTTCTGCGCAGACCCTGCCAGATTTGGTTCTTCCGTGCCGTACACTCTGCTTGGAGCACCACACTAACTGGGCTTATCACAGATCTGATGCCATCATCTTCTGTTCTTTGATTTTTCTTTTTCATTCATCTTCGTCATCTTCATCTTCCTCTCCATCAGATAGGGATGTACAAGGCCGGATCTGTCGGTAGCGGTCAAGCCATTTTTCTACCATTTGTGTAACCAGGGGGTGATTTCGCCGCCGAGAGCTTTTCTGCATGGCAACCAGAACTCCCCCCTCAGTCACACAGCAGTCCAGCCACTCCCTGAGCAGTTTTTCTTGCTGTTCCTCATTACCTAGCTTTTAGAGGAGCATGAAGAAAACAGGAGAATAGAACAGATCAGACTTGATAAGGGAAATTTAACAGAACCAAAAGCAACCGGCTGTTTTAACATGGTATCTACTGCATTTCTTGTTTGCTCTCGTTATTTCTTTTTTTTAAATCAATGGGAAAATTTTCAGAGAAAGCTAGAAGGAAGACTACCCTAGGAGATAATCTGTTTAACGAAATGTTATGATAAACTAATCCTGACCAAACAAAAATGCCAGGAAAAATTCACAGGTTCAAACAAGGTAAGTTTACTCAGTAAATTATGTAAAGGCTGAAGTTATACAAGTTACGGTCTCAATTTTTTTCGCTTAATGTCGTCATTATAAGCATTTTATGATAATTATTAGTATATTAAATAAAATACCAATTATTTTATAAGAATGCGGGCTTTCTGAGACAGTGTTCTTTGTGCACATTCTCACTACCTCTCCTGTCTGATCTTCCCCACCCTCATTCCCCTGTACCTGCAATGGCTTTACCAGTAGCTTTTGCTTTTGCCACTGCTCAATTACCTAGTCTCAACCGAGCAAACCGGCCATTGGCTTCCCAGCTTAGCCTCATATCTGGCCTTGAATCGTCCCCGCACACTCTTACTGCCCACTACTCTTAAGCCACACTAGCCTTCCAATTCCTAACTTCCCTTCCTATAATTCTGCAAGGCTCACTTTATCTCAATATCCCCTTCCTTTCTCATCTAAACTCCACCTCACCCTAAGTAAATCATACACAAAAAACCTATTTTCTCTCCTCAGGGCAAAAATTTCATAGTCTAGTTCCTTTCTATGTATCCACACAGCAGCTTGGTTTATTTACAGAAAGAGACAATTACTACAACAACATTCAGAAATGTAACTGATGTGAGCAAGCAGGTGTCATGGAGGTTAAGGCAGCTTGATCTCATTTGGCCAACTGCATGGTTCAAGTCACAGACCTAGCAGCTTGGAAAGGCACAAAGTCTGTGTGTACGCCCAGAATCCTGAGAGGAGAGTGGAGAAGGTACTACAGTGTGGCCATACCCCAGAGGGGTGATTCCTCTCTGTCTGTCTCCGAGTGCATGTGCCCTGTAGCAAACTAAAAAAAAGAAAAGGGACCAGAAAGCGGCATGGTGGTAAAATTTCCATGTAGTGGACTATGGCCCAAGTCTCAGACTTGTTGGCTTGAAACTCAAGTGGGTGTGTGTGTGTGCACTGCCCAGGATCCCGAGGAGAATGGAGAAGGGATTGGGGGGGGGGAGGGCAGTGACTATTTCCCCTGGGGGATGATTTCTCACTCTATCCTTCTGACTCCGGGAGAGCTCACACGCCCTATAGCGAAAATCTCTTAAGGAAAAAGAAATTCAACTGGTGTAGCTAAAGCCACACCTGAAAGACCCTCCAGGCTGGGTTCTGGTAGAAAATTACTACTACATTGGTTAACAGCACAAGCACCGCTTACCTCCTGAGCAGAAAGAAAGTGCACATGGAGTAACTTCCTCTCACTGTCAACCAGAGGCAAAAATGTGATAGTGACATCATCATCGGTGTTCAAGTTAGCACCAGCACCTCGGTTGCCATAGCCATCATTTTCCATAGCAACCAAAGCAGAGAAGTGGCCCCTTGTATAGCCCAGAGCAATTGGACTTTTCCAACAAAAACTCTGTTCCCACAACAAAGGCAAATAAACACCTGAAAAGAGGGGGGAAATATCAGTGGTCACAGGTCAAATAGTTTGTCCCCCATGTCCACATTCCCCTGTCCACTGCATCACTGCCTGACATCCAAGAGCTGCTTTGAGCCTTCTCTTCAGTAAGTCTTTAAAGATGTGGCTGCAAATTACAATAGTAAACAAGACTCCTTAAATGCACTTAAATAATGGCTTACCTTGAAACCGAGTATATCCTAGAGTTTCTCCCCGGAAACTCTTATAATATTTTACTCCATAAACTATAATTGGTCGTCTAAGAATATGCGCAAGTACAAAAATGTGTGTCTGTTCCAAACTTGCTCCAGGCTAAATAGGACAAACAAAAAAGTACAATCTTTAGAATTTTATTACCATTTCTAGACTACTGATACATACAAAAACAATACATACCTTCCTGGGACCAGCAGTTAGCATAATGGCTATGTCGCTGGACTCGCACGTAGTCGACCATGGTTCGAGTCCCAAACCTGGTGGCTTAACTCACGCCGGGCACGTGTGCGTGCATGCCCAAGATCCCGAGAGAAGAATGGAGAAGGGATTGCGGCGTGGCCATCCCCTCTGGGGGGTGATTTCTCGCTTTCTATCTCTCTGTCTCTCTCTCTCTAGCAAGCACACGTGCCCTATAGCAAAAACCTCTCCAGGAAAAAAAATAATACGTACCTTCTTTAATATACTATCTCAATTCATTTTTAAATTTAAAAAAGTCCAATAAAACTATAATATATATCTATGAAGTCTATGTACAAGTATCATTCACTATTCAAAATTCACAAATCAAACAGATCTGGATAAATATTTTGAGATATCTCTTACTATTCAACCTCATTAACTCATTCACTGATCTCAGGAACCATAGAGTCACATAGCAAGAAACGCTTTATATAACCATATGGTTAACTGTGAGAGTACTACCTACAACAAGGTCCTGAAATAAAAACATCAGCCTTGTTATTTCATACACACTAAAATGGCAGTACCACCTAACTCATGAATATTAATACTACTGAGTCTATCCTCTAACTACAATGATTCTGAACTACATGGTCAGCCATGACATGTCTGAGATATAAATCATCTTCTGTGAACCTTGCCCAAATGGCTCAAAGACAGAAGGTACTTTCCTCTGAGAGTTCAAAGGAACTATGCTACTTTCTAGAAAGAAGAAAGGATTACTGGGGCCAACAGGTGACATGGTGGTTAAAGCACTGGATTCTCACATGGCCAACCATAACTGGCTTGAAAATCATGCTGGCCACGTGTGCAAGTGTGCCTAAAACGCTAGGAGAATGGGGGACAAGGGACTGCAGCATGGCCATCCATTGGGGGGGTAATTTCTCATTCCCCCCCGCACTATCTTGGAGGAGTACACAACATGCTATGGCAAAAAAAAATTTTTTAAATAAAGATAAAAGGAGTGTTGTAAACAGATTTGAACTTTACCCCAAACAACCTTCTCAAAACAAAACTAGTATGAAAGCAAGAGTAAAAGGGGGACAGCTCACAGTTCTATGCTACAAGAAGGCTTCATTTATAAAAGAGTGTACCGGCAAACATCAGAAAAGTTCATTCCCACATGAACCAGAAATCATGTCTGTCAATGCTAATTAGTTCAGAACAAGCCAGACTGCAAATTTTCCTTTGCCTACATCACATGAATATTAGGGAATGCTATGAAGATTAAAGACTTGTTCCTTGGGACCTGCTGAATCAGCACCTGTATGTATATAAGTACCCATTTCTAATTCACTGGTCTTGGTAAAACAAACAGAAAACCATCCATATCAAAGAGAAATGAACAATTTCAAAACTATGTACCTGATTATCACAGTACAACTTCCATTTATACAGTTTTTAATCACTTGATACCAGAAAAAAAAAGTAATAACTCTTACCTGCTTTGTAGTAAAGACTTGCTACAGTCACATATTTTGATAAATAGCAATCACAACTACAACCCAAGTCAACCAATGCCAAGTCAAGAACTCTTTCCTTAAAACCCCACTGGCTCTAACATGATTTGCTCAAGAAAATGAAGGAATGCATGCCATGTGGCTTACTTTTCTCATAGAAGCAACAAGGTCTGAAACATCCTTACCTGGCTAGCAAGAGAGAGTATAAATGCCCAGTCTTCTTGCCACTGCTCTTCTCTTAAGGAAAAGTGTAAACCAAAGCTCTGAGAATACCATGATTCCCAATCTTTCCAGCGTGTGTAAAACCTAAAAAGGCATGACAGTTAAAATAAGCTTTCTAGGAAGAAAAAATAGAGTGGTAAGACATTTGTGGGATACAGAAATGGTTTAATACCTATTGCTGATAATGTGTATAGCATTCTCAACTGGACTGGTCTGAGGTATATTTCATGTTGGGTAAAATCTCTTTACAAGCTAAATGATGTATAATGATTGAATGTATAAAACAATAATAAAAAGTAAAATTTTAAAAATAAGCCTTCTATATAAATAGTACACTAAATGTTATAATTTAGTTTGGTCTTTTCGCAGCTCATTTGAAGAAATTAAAAATGCTTCCATTCTTCTAGTACTTTTTTAAAAAACTTTTTGCTAGGAGACAAAAAACAAGAGTGATAAATCACACCCCAGGGGGGATGACCATACCACACTGCCTTCTCCTCTCAAGATTTTGGGCACACACACCCAGAGTTTGTCAAGTCACAGGTCTAGGACTCAAACCACACAGTCAGTTATGTAGGATCTAGCTGCCTTAACCTCTATGCCATCTGCTGACCCTGCAGCTGATATCTTAAAACAGCTTTAGGGGCTGGCAGGTGGCTTGGTGGCTAAGGCTCTGGATTAACACATGGCCAACATGGTTTGGGTTCCAAAACTGGCAGCTTGCTTTCTCTCTATCTGGCCAAATTAAAAAACAGAAATAAAATAATTTTTTAAAATAAATAAGAAGATAATGCAAGCCAGTTTGATTTACCAACCAAGCTTTCAACAAACTTCAGTCATTATGAGAAAGTTTAATGTCAATTTTCTACTATTGGTTTACAAACTCAAAATATGATCAAAGAATACATTTCTCCTATGTATAGTACAATGCTAAATGTACATAATGTATATAATAATATAATGTACATAAATGTATATAATACAGATGGGAAATACCCTGTGTGTTCATATAAACATCATTTCTCCGTGATACATTTTTATCTTTTGAGGAGCACCTGATAATCCAAAAACAAACCAAGAAAAAAATTACTGCAACCACATGGGGCCAGCAGATGGTATAGTGATTATTACATCACTGGACTCCCACATGGCCAACAGCAGTTTAAGTCCTGGACCCAGTGACTTGAAACTCACGATGGCCATGTATGCATGCATGCCTCAAATCCCAGGAGGAGAAGGAACTGCGGTGTGGCCATCCCCTCTGGAGAGTGATTTCTCACTTTCTCTCTCACTGTACCTATCTCTCTCTCTCTCTGGCAAATGCACATGCCCTATGGCTAAAACCTCTTAAAAAAATAAAAGTCACCTTTCTGTGCAGATAGCAGGCCCGCAAGCATAGTGAACGCCCCTAAAACCTGCCGGACCTTCTGTAAGAAGTGTGGCAAGCACCAGCCTCATAAGTGACACAGTACAAAAAGGGCAAGGATTCTCTGTGTGCTCAGGGACAGCGGCCTCATGACAGGAAGCAGAATGGCTATGGTGGACAGACTAAGCCTATTTTCCGGAAAAAGGCAAAAACTACAAAGAAGATTGTGCTAAGGCTTGAATGTGTGGAGCCCAACTGCAGATCTAAGACAATGCTGGCTACTAAGAGATGTAAGCATTTTGAACTGGGAGGGGATAAGAGAAAGGGTCCTGTGATCCAGTTCTAAGCCTCATCTTTTTTATCATGAAGACGACAAAATCTTGAGGTGAATGTTCACCTCATTTGATTACTTTATTCCCTCCCTAAAAGACCAACTATAATCAAAAAAATTCCAATTTGATTCATGAAATAAATAAAAATCACTACAACTACAAAAACAATTCCTCCTTTATATTAACAATATCCTTCTAAAAATTTTAGCCTGATAAATTATGAAGATCTAAAATCACAATGTGTTACTGATAGACAGAATAAAAATGAAATCTATTATTTTTCTCCATATCAAGTTTAAAATTAACTAAAACTAGAAATTACTACACTAAAAATTTACTACACTAAAAGCTCATGTTTTACAGTAAGACGAGCCAACCAACATTTCAAATGTCTGAAATGAAGACAGACATTTAACTTCTTTAGAATATCACATTTTGGGACAGCAGATGGCATAATGGTTACATTGGTGTACTCCCACACAGCTGAGTGTCGTTCAAGGCCAAGACCCAGCAGTTTGAAACACATGCCAAGTACATGTACATGTGTGCCCAAAATCCTGAGAGGAGAAATGGAGAAGAGACCACAATGCGGTCATCCCTCCGGAGGGTGATTTCTCACTTTCTGTCTCCCGGTGAGCACAAATGCCCAATAACAAAATTCTCTCTTAAAAAAAGAATATCACATTTTTATGCATTTCGAGTCTAGGTAAAAGCAGCAAAAGACAACAAGCAATTTGTTGCTGCTGATTAAATTTCCAGCATAGTATAGTTACATGTGGGGACTAGCATGTGGCATGGTAGTTAAGGCACTGGGCTTCCACATGGTTGAGTATGGTTCCAGTTTCGGACCTGATAGCTTGAAAATCATGTGCATGCATACCCAAAATCCTGAAGCTTGAAAATCATGTGCATGCATACCCAAAATCCTGAGAGGAGAATGGAGGAGAAGGGTTGGAAGTGTGGCCATCTCCCCTGTGGGATGATTTCTTACTTTCCCTCTCTCTCTGGCAAGGGAGTGTACGCAACTTATGGCAAAAAATTAAACAAACAAACAAAAAAAAGTTACATGTATCAGTGCCACAATGATCTTTACAGTAATTTAATGGAGGGCTCTGTAGAAATATATTAATACATTTTAGTTTTTTCTAAAATGACTCAAACAATAACCCAGAGGTTTAACTCTTAGTTGATCAAAAACATTGAGTACCCAAGCAACCAAGGATTTTTTATAATACCAAATATTTTTAAAATAAAATGTGGTATTTCTCTTTCACAATAGCTAAGATAAAGAGAAATGTATTTGAATATTTAAGCACCAATGATGATATACATTGTTTTGAAAAGCTGAAGGAGGAACATCAAGCAATATAATAGAAACAATAATGTAACTTCTTTATAGAACTGAAGGATGTATGAGGAATTTCTTGGTTAGTACCTAAAATCATTTTATCAATGACACAGATAATTCAACTGTAAATTAAATGATGATTGCACTCCAAATTCCTAAAGGAAGCTACTGAATAAGGGAGTTCAATACAATATATTGGGTCATCGGAAAAGTCATGACAAATTTTTGCCTAGAAAAATATGTCATGACCTTTCCGATGACCCAATAACTTAAAAATATGACATGGTGATTAGGCAGCTGGATCCCACATGGCCAACTCAACAGTTCAAATTCTGGACCCAGTGGCTTGAAAAATACACCAGGCACATGTGTGCATGCCCAAAATCCCAAAAGGAGAATGGACAATGGCATGGCCATTACCCCTAGGGAAATAATTTCCAATGAGCATATGCATGTTAAAATTTTAAAAATAAATAAAAGTTCAGGGTCTGCCCATGGTATTAAGGCACCTGGATCCCACATAGCTGAATGCATGGTTTGAGTCCTGAACTTGGGTGGCTTAAAAACAGCAGGTACATGTGTGTGCATGTCCAAAATTCCCAAAGGAAAGAAATAAGGAGAAAGGATTGTGGCATGACCATCCCCTGGTTGTGATTTCTCACTGTCCCTCTTTCTCCAGTGAACACACACCCCCTCTGGCAAACTAAATTGAAAAAAAAAATTTTAACCTAAATACATACATACATACATGTATTCAAATAATCACTCCCACCACACCAATAGCTAAACTTCAGACCTAAACTCTGAAACTACCTGGCCACTAAGAACAGATAAATAGGCCCAGCCCATGGCATGTTGCTTAAGGCAGCTGGACCCTATATGGCTTTGAGTCTCAGACCTGGGAGCCTGAGAAACACATCAGGCACATGTGCATGCAAGCCCCATATCCTGAAATACTGTGGTAATTTCTGGGGGGAGGGAGTGCTTTCTTGCTTTCTCTCTCGCCTTCTCCCTCTCTCCTTCCCCAGCAAGCCGAAGCACCCTATAGCAAACATTTTTAAAAAGAACCAGTAAACAAAGCAAGTCCAGCAACAAAGGACCAAGTAGTACGGAATACAAGTTTGACTGAACATTCAACAACCAATATTATGTTCATGAACTAGCTGGCAGTGTTCCCCAAATTAATGTACAGACTCCGTGAAATCTCTTAATCAAAATCTCAGCTGACTTTTTTTTGCAAAAACAGATAAACTGGATCCTAAAATTTATACAGAAATCCAAAGGACCCAGAATAGTCAAAACAATCTTGAATTTTGAAACTTATTACAAAACTAGAAACATGAAGACAGTCTGATACTAACATGAATATACACATATAGGTAAGGTCCCAGAGCCAAGTCCTTGTGAGAGATGAATCGCACATGGCCAACTGCAGTTCAAATTTTGGCTCTAGAAGCTTGAAAAACACTGGGCCTGTATGTTTGTATGCCCAAAATCCCAAAAGAGAAAGGAGAAGGGACTAGGTGCGACCATGTCCCATTGAGGAAGTGGTTTCTCCTTCTCTCTAAAAGAAAGAACGGATATACTCATTGATGGGAAAAAAACTGAGTACAGAAACAAACCATTGAAGGGACTAGCAGGTGAGCATAATGGCTATGTCGCTGGACTCCCATGTAGTCGACCGCAGTCCGAGTCCCGGACTCAGTGGCTTAAACTCACGCTGGGCACATGTGCGTGCGTGCGTGCATGTGTGCATGCCCAAGATCCCTAGAGGAGAATGGAGGAGAAGGGATTGTGGCATGGCCATCTCCCCTGGGGGTGATTTCCCACTTTCTGTCTCTCTGTCTCTTTCTTTCTGGCAAGCACACACACCCTATAGCAAAAACCTCTCTAAAAAAAAAAAAGGAAACAAACCATTATTTTTGCGGGAGACTAGTTTTCAACCAAAGTGCCAGGAAATGGAGCAGGAGGAAAACAATCTTTTAAACAATTGGTATTTAGGACAACTGGATATCTACATGCAAAACAATAAGCTCAAAGTGCATTATAGACCTAACTGTGCAATTTAAAAACTGTAAAACTCTTAGAAAATGATACATGATACAGGAGTAAATCTGTGTGACCTTAAACTTCATAAACTTGATTTAAAGACTTCAAGAGACACCTTTAATAAAGTAAAAAGATAAGCCACAGAATGCAAGAAATTATCTATAAATCATACACAATGAGGGGCCTCTTACATACACAATATATGTACCTCAATATAATGACAACCACTTTAAAAATGAGTACAAAATGTAGAAACTTCACCCAAAAAGATATATAAATGACCAATAAGCATATGAAAAAATGCCCAATGTCATCCAGTTATTAGAGAAAAGCAAATCAAACCCATAATGGGATTCTACTACATGTGCACAAGAATGGGCTACATCAATCAAAAACAAGTGTTGGTAAGGATGTGGAGAAGTGGGAATCTTCGTACATCAATGGTAGGAATGTAAAATTATACAATCACTGTAAAAAAAAGTTTGGCAATTTCTTAAAATGTTGAACACAGATTTACTAAATGACATAGCAAATCCTCTGCTAGTCATCTACAGGAGAGATACTGATGCTGGCCACAGCAACCAAACCTTAGGCTGGACTAGGATATGAACCCAGACCTCTAATGTCTTTATGGTCCCAGCTTGTAGAGCACAGCATCTTAGTGCACATCACCACTGCTGGGCAAAAAACCAGTAACAATTCTTTGAGAGAGATTTTTGCTACAGGGTGTGTGCCCTTGCCAGAGAGACAGAAAGCGAGAAATCACCACAATCCCTTCTCCTCCAGTCTCCTCTTGGGATTTTGGGTGGACATGCACACACATGCACTTAGCATGAGTTTCAAGCCACTGGATAGGATGTTTAAAAACCCACTGGACCGGGAACAAAAGCCACAGTTGACTACATGGGAGTCCAGTGATGCAGCCATTATGCCATATGCTGGTCCCCCCTAAAAAACAGTAACAATTCTATAAACCTGTACTGATTTTTCCCCTATTTACATGAATACCCCTGACCTGATCCTCTAAGAAATTAGATTAACTCATCAATGAAAGGCCAGGACACCCTATTCAGTCTTTAGAATTGGAGTCAGATTGAATCAGGGGTATCCAACAGCTACAAACACAAAATAGCCTATCCTGAAGTGGGGAAAAGTGTTTAAATAAAAGAAGATTACTTTATGGTACCAGCAGATGGCATGGTTACGTCACGGATTCCCACATAGTTGACCACAGTTCGAGTCCAGGATCCTGTGGCTTAAAACGTGCCAGGCATGTGTGGGTACATGCCCAAGATCCCAAGAGGAGAATGGAGAAGGGATTGTGGCATGGCCATCTACCCTGGGGGATCATTTCTTGCTTTCTGTCTCTATGGTGAGCACATGCACCCTATAGCAAAAATATCTCTTTAAAAAAAGGGAAGATTACTTTATCAGTTCTTATTAGATATTTTATGGCTTAAGAAAACATCTTGGGGCCAGTGGGTGGCATGGTGATTAAGGTACTGGGCTTCCACACGGCCTACCACAGTATGAATCCTGGACCTGACAGCTCGCATTTTCACTTTCTCTCTGTCTCACTCTCTCTGGTGAGCATGTGTGCCCTGTAGAAGATTAAAAAAATAATAATAATGATAAATACAATTATAGTCTTCTTAAAAAAACTCATGCTGAAGAGCACATCAGTAAAGAGTGACTTAAAAAGGAGACTACAGGGCCTATAGCATAAGTCTCTTAAAAAAAAAAAATAAAGGCAGGACCAGCAGATGGCATAATGGCTATGTCACTGGACTCCTATGTAGTCAACCACGGTTTGAATCCCGGACCCAGTGGCTTAAACTCACACTGGGTGCATGTGCATGCGTGCCCAAGATCCTGAGAGGAGAACGGAGGACAAGGGATTGTGGCGTGGCCATCCCCCCTAGGAGCTGATTTCTCACTTGCTGTCTGTCTCTGCCTGTCTTCCTTTTTTATTTCTTTTTTTTTAAGCAGTTTTTGCTATAGGACACAAGCACTTGCCAGAAAGGCATTAGATAACCTACAATCCAAGCCTTAAGTTACTGCTAAGAATGGCGCTGTGTGACCACTGCAATCATGCAGTGTTCTATGTATGAACTTTTATAAAACATCAGGCAAAGATCCCCAGTGGCAGGGGCTAAAGGAGGTGGGGCCAATGCACATTTTGTTTTGTGATGCCCTGTCCAAATACCAATTCAAGGTCCTCATTCCTGAAGCATCTTTAGTCATGACTTAATTTGAAAGTTCTAGTCAAGGCAAAGTGGCTAGGTATGAAAACATTCTTATTCTGGAGTGCTCACTTCAGCCTCACATAAACTATTCTTTTTTTTTTTTTTTTTTGAGGGGATAGAGGTTTTTGTTTTAGGGTGGGGGGTGGGGGGGGGGGAGAAAAAGAGACAGTGAGAGGGAAACTGAGAAATCATCCCCCCAGGAGGGATGGCCACCCTGCAATCCCATCTCCTCCATTTTCCTCTCAGGATCTTAGGCACACACGTACACCGGCCCAGAATGAATTTCTAGCCACTGGGTCTGGGACTCAAACTGCGGTTAACTACATGAGAGTCTAACAACATAACCATTACACCATATGCTGGTCCCAAAAAGTCAGTAACAATTCTAAAAGTGAGAATCCAGCAATGTAACCACTATGCCATTTGTTGGCTCACATATACTATTCTTACATTGGAAAGATGGCATGACTGAAAGTATCATGATTTTGAAAACTAACTGGCACATGTATCAAGATGTGAAAAACTAAACTCTGTAAGTGTTTATATATGTATATATAAGAAGGTGTAACAAAATGTTAACCATTAGTCAATAGAATAAAGAAGCTATTAGAACCTACTGGACTATTTTTTCTTTCTGTTAACTTTTCTGTAGGTTTGAAAATATGCAAAATAAAAGTCTTTAATTCCTCCTCAAAAGAAAAAAAACCCTTGCAATACAATGTCAAAATAATATCTTAAAGTTGAACAAAAATATCAAATCATACCTACTTTATAAAAAGGACACTTTATCAATATTTAAGGCTATTATAACTTGAGATGTTGTATTTGAAATGTTCAAATACACTGCTTTTATTTTATAGAAACAATGCATTTCCATTTTAAAGTTTCAGATGTTTCTATTTTAAAGCTCAGCAAAAGAATTTATCAATAAAAACCACTGAAATGTTCAACATGTCTTGAAGTCCTCTCTAGTTTTCAAAGAAAAGAAAATAGAGAAAAAGTATTCTACCACTACAAGAAATGATCCATCAATTGCACTCCTAGATTGAAACAAGGAAGGATGCCAGCTCACCAATGTGAACAGTCATGCAGGCTGTCATGCAGAGCTTTCCGGAGCACTGAGTCCTTGTCATAAATGCCCCAGGTAGCTTGTAGTACTGAATCAAGTAAGCAGTCTCCTGCAGTCCGGTTCCAAAGTGCATAGAGTCGACTGTCCAAACGTGTAGCCAATTCCAAAGACCAGTTTATAATCGGAGATTCTTCTTCTAACTCTATGAGTGGTTTAAATAACATGTTCATTTTTATACCTATACTTGAGGGGAAAAATCTGCTTTCTAGATTTTTATGTAATTTACTAATAAACATCTAGATAAATCTGATCAATTTAAACATAAACTTCTGGCTAGCTGATATATCTTGTGGTTCTAGTATAACACATTCATCTTTTTAAAAGAGATAAATACTCACTCTGAAATAAACAGAATACCAAGATTTTAAAACTCTTACACCTTTCTTTATTCACTCTATCAGAGTTAAGAGCTCTAAATGAGTATTTTTAACAGTGCAATGACACAGTGCTCTTAAAGTCTTTGCATCTGTAATTTAAAATAAAAATAAAGCAAGTTGACTGTGCATCAAACTACTCTATACCTTACAAAACAAAGCAAAATTTAACTGATCAGAAGAAAGGTAAATTACACTCATTAATTCCATGCTTACCTTTTTAAATTTTTTTTGGAGAAGTTTTTGCTACAGGGTGTGTGCGTTCGTCAGAGAGACAGAGAGAAAGCGAGAAATCACCCCCCAGAGGGGATGGCCACGCTGCAATCCTTTCTCCTCCATTCTCCTCTTGGGATCTTGGGCATGCACGCACACATGCCCGGTGTGAGTTTTAAGCCACCAGGTCCAGCACTTGAACTGCGGTCAACTACATGGGAGTTCAGCAACATAGCCATTACACTAACTGCTGGTCCCCATGCTTACCTTTTTGAACGTCTCTATCAAGCACCTCATCAAATAATTTTTCTTGGACTGTCGGGGGCAAATCTTCTATATCTACCCCGAAAAAAAAAAAAAAAAAAGCTGACTTAAAAGCTCTTACATTTCATAACTTGATAAACTTGATACAAATATCTCATAGTAACTTCCTCTAAAATAATGCCCTTTCCACTAAAGGCTGTCAGGTAGCTTTTTTTTTTTCTTTAATAGTTGCTTGCAACATATGTGCACATGTGTGATGTAAATTATTTCCTTTCTGTATTCCATTATCAAAATTTTGAGTTACTTTAATAAAACAATATTAAGAATAATATCTGGACAATTACATACAAAGTTTTGTTTTTTTCTTCACATTGGCAACCTCTGCTCAGATCTGCTATTTTCAGATTTTAGAATTTTCTTATAAATGTTAATGAACCCATTTTATAGCACACAGTCTTTTTGTTATTTTCCTCAAATTCTTTATCATCTGTTCAAGTAATTTAATAGAGTAGCCTTCCCAATGAAATTTTTAATAATTTTTTAGAAGCCATTTTCAACTCAAAATAAAAGTAATAATCACTTGGGATAAGTTTAACTATAAAGTGAATACATTTCAAATGGAATTTGCTCCAATTTTAGAAACCTCAGTTATTATCTTCAACCATTTGTAAATACCCGTTTACATCTGAATACAAACACTTAGATCCCAGGTAGAAGCTTTATTTTAGGAATCTTTACTGCTTGATATACTTACTCAATACCAAAAGAAACCATTTTTAACTGTCACTGAATTGAAAAATTAAATGCTACCTCACTGAAAGAGTACAAATGAATGTGATGAGAAAGGAAGGATGCATTCAAAAGAATGCCAGTATCTTTAAATTCAAGTAACATGACATTACCTACCCAAAGCCTATGTTCTAAAATCCTATCATTAATACCAGGTAACCAACAGCTATTTAATTTCAAAATTAATAAGCATGAAAAGAAAGAAAACATTTTTAAAAGGAGACTTTTAATAACAGATATTACAAAATAAAACCAAAGAAAAAGTACAGCAGATTTTTAAAAATTATCTTGAGGCCCACGAAAAAAAATCAGTACTGTAAGCTGTTATATTTCTCCCCAAATATTAAAGCATTCATTTACTAGTAGCCCTTATCCCAATCACTTCCAGCATAAAATAGGACATTCAAGTAATTTAAGATGCACATATAGTAACTATGCTATCTGTTTTCTATCAAAAACACATTTTTCCCATACATAAAAACACACTATAATGAAATGAAAATTTCTCTTCAGATTAAATTTTGAGTTACCTGCTGGCAATGTAAATGTTACAAGGTCAGTTAGAAAATAGCAAGCAAAATCCCCCTTTCTCTGATGAAGAGAGGCAGCTATTTCTCTCCGGATTTGTTCTGTCAGTTCAGGACACACCATTGCTGGAATGCACTTTGCTGCTTGTTGAGACACCTTGAATGAAAAAGAAACTTTCCTCTACATCTCATTTATCATAAAAGGAAGCAGAAAAACATTATTTGAAAGAAATTAGCATATTTCCCCAACTATAGTTTTGTTTTTGTTGTTGCTGTTGTTTTGTTTTAAATCTTACAATGTCTGGGCTAGCTGGTGTCATGGTAGTTAAGATGGCTAGATTCCACATAACCAACCATGCTGTTTGAGTACTGGACCCAGCAGCATGAAAAACACACTGGGCATGCCTTTCCCTGACAAGTGCATACACCCTCTACCAATTTTTTTTTTTAAATGTACTAGGTATTATTTCTTTACTTGTGGAAAAATGTATCTGTACAATTTGTTAGAAAAACAAAGATGCACATTAAAATTTATGTAAAAGCGAGACCAGCAGTAAGTGCAATGGCTATGTCGTTGAACTCCCATGTAGCCGACCGCAGTTCGAGTCCCAGACCCAGTGGCTTAAACTCACACCAGGTGCGTGTGTATGTGTGCCCAAGATCCCGAGAGGAGAATGGAGGAGAAGGGATTGCAGCGTGGCCATCCCCTCTGGGGGGTGATTTCTCGCTTTCTATCTCTCTGTCTCTCTCTGTATTTCTGGCAAACACACATGCCCTATAGCAAAAAAAAAAAAAAACTCTCCAAAAAAAGAAAAAAATTATGTAAAAGGTTGCTGTTCCTAAAGATACATCATAAGAGGGGAAAGGAAGATATAACAAACTCAGACTGACTATCGTGTACTCAATAAAAAATTATTAAAGAGAGGCTGGCAGGTGGCGTGGTGGTTAAGTGTGCTGGACTCCCACATGGCCAACTGCAGTTCAAGTCCCAGACCTAGCAGCTTGCTTTCTCACCCCCCCCCCCAACTCTGTCCCTCTCTGGTCAAATTTAGATAGGTGGGTAGAAAGAAAGAAAGAAAAAAAAAGTGAAAGAAATTTTTTAAAATATTATTAAAGAACAGGAAATCATAGCTCACAGACCAAAAAAAAAAAAAAATGCAAACATTCTTCTCTCACAAATTTTAAGTTCCCTGACTTAGAATAAATAAAGCACAGGGGCCAGCAAGTGCCGTGGTGGTTAAAGGTGTTGGACTCCAACATGGCCGACCACAGTTTGAGTCCTGGACTTGATGGCCTGCTTTCTCATTTCCTCTCTCTCCCTCACTCTCTCAAATTGAAAAATAATGATAATAAATAAGTAATTATTTAAAAAAAGAAAGCACTGACCTCAGGTTCCTTCCCCCTCCTCATTTGTTAGCACACTAAATTTTTTAAAAGCACTTGCATCTCCAAGTTTAAATAAAGGTGGCAGAACATCGAAGTCCAGTCTCATAGGCGTGAGATATGAACAGTTGTAGTGAGTTACAGACCCCTAGAAGTCTCTAGCTAAGGAAATATAACAAGCTCCAAATGACTAGTTGTGTTTGGTTCTGCTAATACAGTGTGTGCACTCACCAGAGACAGACAGGGAAAATGAAAAAGGATCCCCAAGGAGGATGGCGTTGTTGCGATCCCTTCACCTCCATTCTCTTCTCAGGATCTTGGGCATGCATGCACAAGCGCTCAGCTATTTCTCAAGTTGTGGGATCTAGGACTCAGACCATGAAGTTGGCCATATGGGATCCAGTCATATGATCCAACCACTTTAACCACTGCCACCAACTGGACTGGCTGGAACTTTCTTCCTTAATATTTTATTGTTCTTTTCTTTCTTTAAATGCCAGAGGATGCGTGCATTCACCACAGAAAGAACAACAGAGAGCTCCCTCACAATGGGGCATGGTCATATCATAATCCTGTTTCCTCCATTTTAATCCTGTTTCCTCCATTTCTCCATCCTATCAGGATTTGGGGCACTCATGCACAAGTGCCTGGTATTTTTGACAAGCCACTGGGGCTGGAATTCAAACCACAGTATGCCATGCAGGATATAGTTCCCTTAACCACTGTGCTATGGGACTAACCCTTTCTTCTTTTAAATGTTGAATAGCAACAAATGATGCAAAGATTTCACATTACATTTCAGTTGCATTTCATTTGTGGCACTCAAGAAATTTATATAGTACAGAAAATTCAAAAATCCAAGTGAGTACTGGTAAGGAAGAAAATGATGCAAACATGAATGAGCCAGTGAGTTCTATTCTCTGCTGTCACTAACCTGGATGACAGTCACCAGTTACAAATGTTACTGATAATGCCATCTATAGAATACATGTGGACATCTTTTTTGGAGGGGAGAGGTTTTTGCTATAGGGCGCATGCACTTGCTAGAAAGACAGAGACAGACAGAAAATGAGAAATCACCCCACAAAGGGGATGGCCACACTGCAATCCCTTCCCCTCCATTCTCCTCTGGGAATCTTGGGCATACACGCACACGTGCCTGGTATAAGTTTAAGCTACAGGGTCAGGGACTCGAGCCATGGCCAACTACACAGGAGCACAGCCATATAGCCATTACACCAACTGCTGGTCCTACATATGGACAATTTAACAGACAATTGCTATTAAGGTAAGCAAACTGTGTTTAAAAACCCTGAATAACACCCAGCTTAAAACTCCTACACGAAAAACTCAGTTTTACTAGCTAGCATTACCAGTAACCATAAGAATTTCCACGACATCTGAATTCCATGAACTCAACCTTTATACAACACTCAAAATATGGAAAAGCAAGCATTAATGATTTTTAGAATATAATTGGCTATTTCTCAAGTAACACTGCTAAAATGAATTGTAAAAATAAATTCAAAAATGGATTATTCCAATCTGGTAGCCCTCAGCCCCTCTCCAAAGATATAGAAAGACTTTTTTTAAAAAGAAAAGAAGACCTGAACTAGACTCAATATGGCAAACATTCCAAGAAAAACTTGGCCTCCAAGCAAGCCCCACTTCCACCACCATACTTAAGCAGGACATGTCTCTGAAGTCTAACTCTCATCTCTCTGCCTCTTCATCCCAATAATCTTCAACCATTTCTTTAAACTAGCAATTCTTTTATTTGTTTATTTATTTTTTTGCCTGAGGGCACACGTGTGCTCACCAGAGAGAAACAGTGACAGCGACAGTAAAAGGCAAAGTGGGAAATCACCCCCCACCAACCACACAGGGAGAACGGCCATGCCACAATCCCTTCTCTTCCATTCTCTTCCCAGGATCTTGGGCACATACACACTTACCCAGAGTAAGTTTCAAGCCACCAGATCCAGGACTCGAACTGCAGTCAGCCATGTGGGAGTCCAATGACCTAACTAATACACCACCTGCTGGTCCCTAAGCTAGTAATTCTTTTTTGGGGGCGGGGGAGAGATTTTTACTATAGGGCATGTTCGCACACCAGAAAGAGAGACAGACAGCGAGACAGAAAGCGAGAAATCACCCACCAGGGGGGATGGTCATGCTGCAAAATCTTCCCCTCCATTCTCCTCTCAGGATCTTGGGCATGCACGCAAACACGCCCAGCGTGAGTTTAAGCTACTGGGTCCGAGACTCGAACAATGGTTGACTGCATGGGAGTCTAGTGACATAGCCATTACACCAACTGCTGGTCCCAGTAATTCTTAATTTACAAGTTGTGAACTTGAGAAGTACCCATGAACTTGAATGGGAATTTTAATTAAATAAAAGATATACTGTATTTTCACTAACTTCTTGCCTTATACTAAAATACATTTTCTTATATATTTCAAATTTGATTTAGTAATTTGATAACTGTATTTCAGTATGACTGAGTTCCTTCGCAATCCTATTTTTGTTTTATGCATTTAAAAACAGTATTTTGAGGGACTAGCAGGTGGCATGGTGGTTTTGGTGCTGAATTCCCATATAGCCGACAGTGGTTTGAGTCCTGAACCTAGTGGCTTGCACAGCAAATTAAAATACTACTACTAATAAATAAAATAATAACTCTTAAAAAACAAACAGAAAAACAGTATTCTGGGGTGCCCACAGCTTCCTTCAGACTACCTGCAGGGTCTATGACACAAAACCTAAAAAAAACTTCTGCCTCAAGATATGTATCTCCAAATCCAATGTTCTTCTGTTCTCAATCCAAAAGACCTTGGCTCTGTACTGTTTTTGGAGATATATATCACCTTATATCACCCTCCCATCCTTCTGGTCTCCCTCTGGCTTCATTAAATCTGTCCTTTGGAATATCTAACACAAATTCCATTACCAATTTTATTCTTTACCTGGCATAAACCCCTTCCACCTCTTTCACTCTTGCTGATCTATATGTCCCATAGAATAAGGCAGAAGTAACAGCATGTTGCTTTCTAAATTCATCAATAAGACACTGCAGCTTCTATCTGGATTGCTCTCTTGCACTTTCTTGCCCTCTCGTGGATCATTTGCTCTGGGTGCAACCAGCTGCTGCACTATGAGCAGCCTTACGGACAGGTTCACAGGCAAAGTAGTAAAGTCTCCTGACAACAGTCACATGAGTGAGTTTGCAAACAGATCCAGCCTTTTGACAATTATAGCTCTGGTCAACAACCTGCCTTCAACCTGGTGATACCCTGAGCCAAAACCATTCAGCTAAGCCACTCCTGGATTCCTTGCCCTCACAAACTGTGAGATAACAAATGTTTGGGGGTCAGCAGGTGATGTGGTGGTTAAGGCACTGGGTACTCCCAAGTGGTCAACTACGGTTCAAGTCCTGGACCTGGAGGCTTGCTTTTGCACTTTCTCTCTCTCTCGCTCTGTCCCTCTCTGGTCAAATTAAAAATAAATAAAGTTAAATAAAAATAACTTTTGTTAAAAAAAAAAAAAGCTTGTTGTCTCAAGCGGCTAGGTTTTTAGGTAATTTGAGATACTGCAACAAGTAATATAGTGGTATCCAATTATAATTTCACTTGCTCTGGAGTCCAGTGACTTATGACAGCCCTCAAGAACCTTGTAATAGTCCTCTACCAACTTAAAGAGAAACACAAATGCAGCCAGATCTTGGACACCTACGGAAATGAACTCTAACTGTTCCATCCCATGCAGAAACTCTGTGCTGCTCCTTTTCAAATAGGACTTTCTCCCCTTACACTCTATAAACCTGCCTTTTGTCTTCACCATGGCCTTCAGTCCCTCAAACCCTCCCCCCTTTCTGAGTCCATAAGGCCCTCCCACCAGCTTCACTGGAACCTCACCAAAATGAACACAATGGCAAGCCATTTGCTCATGCTTTTATCTGACCTTCATATATTAAACCTCCATACAGTGTCCTATACATTAATGATCCCCAAATATTGACAAAGTTGAATAAACAAGTATGTATACGTATAAACAGAAGATATATACTAACAAAATTTAAATGCACAATCAAGGTGACTCTTTATGCTCTCTTATAATGAAAAAAAAATCTAAATACAGAAGCATCCTGAATAATTCACTTGCAATCTCTGTCATTTGCAACATCCACCTAGTTAATGTAAGCAAAAAACCTCACAATTAACTTAGTACTTCATTATTCCCATCTCCAATTTATCTACTTTGTAAGACTGACTATATTTCTATCCTGTCTCTCAAAACAGCCCGCTTCTTTCCATTTCCACAGCCACTAAACTACTGACAGAGTTCTTGCCAGCATCACTGTGACACCCTCCTGAATGAGCTTGCCCCTCTTGCCAATGCTCAGTAGCCCAAACATAATTTGCTCTTCTCACTCTCCTTCTCCTGTATCTAAAATCTTTCAGTGCCCTCTGAATTATTTTCAAATTTCTGACACAGAAGGAATGTTCTCAGAATAATCTTCTTTTTTACTGCTCTCAGAATAACCTTCAAATTCCAATCCTTTATAATCGGACCCTCTTTATCTCTCAAATCTCCTTTCTCTCAGTCCCCATTTACAGTCTCAACCACACTCAGTTATTTACTAGTCTCTGAATTCACTACAAATAAATACCACGATCACTGGCCCTTGCATAAATAAATGGTTTCCTCAACTACTCTCCCTTCTTCAGATCTTAGCTAAAATGTTACCTGCTCAAAGTAAGAAAGTGAAATATCTTCAGACTCTTTCCTGCGTTCCCACAAGGCATTTGGCACTTAACATGATTCAGGTATACACTGCACAGAATTACCTGTTCATTTCTCTACCATTCTGGAGACTTACTGAAGTCCAATTCCTCATATTGCTATCCCTTCTCAGCACACAATGCCTAGCACAAAATAAGTACTCAATAAAAATTTGTTAGTTGAGGGACCAGCAGTTAGCGTAATGGCTATGTCGCTGGACTCCCATGTAGTTGACCATGGTTCGCGTCCCAGACCGGTGACTTAAAACTTACACCGGGCGCATGTGCATGCGTGCCCAAGATCCTGAGAGGAGAATGGAGGAGATGGGATTGTGGCGTGGCCATCCCCCCTGGGAGGTGATTTCTCACCTTCTGTCTCTCTGTCTCTGTCTGGCGAGCACACGCACCCTATAGCAAAAACCTCTCAAATACAAAAAAAAAAAGTTAGTTGAATGACTGTGGTGTTTTCTTAGTTAGGGTCTCACTATGTCTAGATCCTTCAGTCTCAGCCTCCTGAGTAGCTAGCACTTCCTCCCCACCCCCTAAAAGAGTAGGATGGGAATGAAGCCTGGGCCTCCTATGCAGCCTTAGCCTGTTGAGCAGCAGCATCTAACACACACTGCCATTAAAAAAAAACAAACATAATAATTCAAATATTGTGACAAAATGTCTTGTTTTAAAAACATTATCCTTAAGGATGATATACTATTAAATTCTCTTAAGCTTAAAGTGATCTTTAAAGAGAGGTAAAAGAATCTAGAACACAGAATAACAGGAGAAATATAACATTGAAACTGAAAGTTCAAGAACACATTTCACCAAAATGCCACACTCACCTCTGTAAGCAATATAGCCAGCATATCCTGCCTCTGAAAACGGATAGCCAAGTGAACAAGAGTGTAGCCAACATCAAAGGCAGTACTTCATCTGCAGTGAGCTGCCGTGCAATATCTCCTCCTGATGACTTATAAGCTTCTATGGCAGCTAAATCCCCTTCTACAACCCCTAAAACAAGCATTAAGATAGAAAAGCATTTAATTCTACATTTTCTTCAAAAAGCACAAACCTGTAGCATTCACACCAAACTCTTATTTATTAAGTGTTTCTCTGTGCTTCCTGGATCCTGAGGAATCATTTAAATGATCTGCAGAATATTTTAAAAGTTAGTTTATTTCTCTCCATTGAAAAAAATTTCTTTCTAGAAACAGAACTGCCTACTAGGACACTTACCTTATATCAATTCTGACTCCATACTCTAGTAGGGTTTAAAGGAACTACTGGAATACATTAACTGGATCAATGACAGGCAATCTAGTATGAGAAACAGGACTTCACAGAAGACACTAAGCCCCCTGTTCGGGTCTTGTGTTCTTCCTGACTCTGTAGAAACCGAAGACACAGGTGCGCTTCTAGTTGGTGTCGCTGCTTCTGCCCTTTACACTGCACACTTAAAGTGGAATCAAAGTAAAGGCTGAGTTTTCCGTACTGCTGTTTAGCTTTGAAACAACTTAGAATGATTGAAACCATTTTCACTGGAAGTAAAAAGTTGGCAATGTTTTTTATTTCAGAATCCCTCATAGCAAGTTTTTCTTACACTCATTACGAAATATTAATAACGTCAAAACCGAAACACATGATGACAAAACATAACAAACCAGTTGATGTTAGGAAAATAAAACGAGTATCACTTTTTGAAAATTCATTAAGAAAGTTCCATTCCCAGTGAACCATTTTATCAGTCTTAGCAAAACTTAATCTTAGGTAAAACTAGCAATTCTATTTACTAAGCACTATGGTACAGGAAGGATAATAAACAGCCTTGGCAAACAACAGAAGTGAGGATTAACTTCCAATTTACAACAGGATTAAAAAGAAAAAAAGACTCAGGACTACAGTTTTAAGTGTTTGTAAAGTCATTTCAGGAAAAATTTGGGGGGTAAATGCTATTAGTTGAAAATACTCTTGGTGTGCTTTTGAAAAAAAGCATTTTCAACTCCCATCTTGAATTAGTGACTAGATAAATGAGCTATTAATTACAGTATAACAGATTAGCATAATATCATTTGCCCCCCATTATTAAAGAAAGCAAAGTTTTGAAATGGTAATTTAATTCCCGAATTTACTGAATGCCCATGACACTAGAGAATACTATAGTAGGCAATATGACAAACATAAAAATATGACTCAGATTCAAAAGTCTTTTCAAAATCACATTTGTGAGTCATAAAAGGTCAATTTCAAAAGTTTTCAAACTCTAGGGTCCTAGATTTTTTTCTGCACATCTAGACATTCTCTCCAGAAAAAAAAATTCCCTGCCCTCAAACAAATATACACATTTTTCAGGTTAAGAACCCAAGATATGGAGAATATCTTCTTACAGGCATTTTTATTATTTTCATAGCAATGTAGGGTAATATATTCCTCACTATATACACACAAATTCAGTTGTAAAACCCTCACATTCAACTGCCCCTTTATAAATAGATTCCAAAACATCCTATGAGGTGCTCTAGAGGGGTTGTCAGGGCTAAAATACAAGGTTGGCATGAGACCAGAGGAAATCTTAGAAAGATAAATCTTTCAAAAAGACAAGCACAGAAAGTGCTACTTGAATTAAAAGCAAATCTATGGGAGTCAAAGAGCAACGCTGTGCAAGGAAATCCCACATGGGAAGGTTTCTAGCACAAATCCAGATCACCCTAAGTACACTAGATGCACACTTGCCCATGATTCAGCACTGGGTAAAGCCTGGGGGTAGACTGTGGTGGATCCTGCTGGGAGTGCTGTCTTTCTTGCTCGCGGAATAAACAAACAAACTAATGCAGCAGTACAACCATGCTCTGCCAAGAAGACCCACGTGACAAGGTCGCTGGTTCACACCAGAAAACCTCCCAGAGTATGCAGAGCATGTGTATGACTATGATCTGGGTTAGCTAAGGCTAGGGATGGATCATGGTATCAAGACCCTGTTGGGGGTGTGCATATGCATGCATTCTCTCTCTTGTTCAAGAAGTAAACAGATAAACTTTTTAAAAAAACTATTAAAAATAAATTTTTAAAAAAATCTATGATGGGGCCAGCAGGTGGTGTAGTAGTTACATCACTGAACGTACAGTGGTCCAAGTGGACCACAGTTTGAGTCCCAAACCCAGGGGCTTAAAAATAAGGCTGGGCATGAGTGTGTGCCCAAAATTCTGGGAGGAGAATGGAGAAGGGATTGTGGCATGGCTATTTCCCTGGGAAGTGATTTCTCACTTTCCCTCTCACTATCTCTGTCTCTCTCTCTCCAGCGAGTGCATATGCCTTAAGGGTTAAATGGTTTTCCTTTTTCTAAAAAAAATTTTGCCTAAGGGCACATATGCTTGCCAGAAAGAGACAGAGGGAAAAGGAGAAAGCTCCCCCAATGAAGTCATTACACTGCCATTCTGTCTTCATTTCTCCATTCTGTCCACATTTGGGGCATACACACATATGCACATTCAGCATGTTTTTCAAGCCACTGGGACTGGAATGAAAACTGTGCCGTTACTCATATAGGATCTGGGTCCTTTAACTATGAGGTTACAGAGTTAGCCTAGTTAAAGAGTTTTCTACTGATAATTATTACGTTCAAATACACAAAGAATTCTAAACCTTCTATTTAACTTATCTTAAGAATAATCTAGTAGAGAGACCAGCAGATAGCATAACAGTTACATCACTGGACTCCCAAAAGTAGTCGACTCCAGTTTGAGTCCCAGACCTGGAGGCTTAAAACTCACACTGGGTGTAGGCATATGTTTGTGCGTGCCCAAGATCCCAGGAGGAAAATGGAGAAGGGATTGTTGCCTGACCATGCCCTGAGGGGTAATTTCTTGTTTTCTGTCTGTCTCTCTGTGTTTCCCTGATGAGTATACATGCCCTATACCAAAAATCTTAAAAAAAAAAAAAAAAAAAAAAAAAAAAAGAAAAACTGGTGCTGGTAAATTCTTTCAGGTTTTGTTTATCTGAGAATGTTCTTGTCTTTTCTTCCCACCTGAAAGATAATCTTACCGGGTACAGTTTCTTTCTTTCTTTCTTTCTCTCTCTCTCCATTAGCTGTTATTATTTTTTAAATTTGACCAGAGAGAGAGAGAGAGAGGAAGGAAAAGCAAGAAGGCAAGCCACCAGGTCCAGGACTTGATCCATGGTCGACAATGTAGGAGTCCAGTGCCCTTAATCACTATGCCACCTGCTAGCCCCAGTGTGTAAGTGTGTTCTCAGACTAGGTTAAGTACTATACATAAAGAACTAGATCTCACATGGCTAACTGTCCCAGATTCAGCAGTTTGAAAACACACCGGGTACATGTACATGCATGCTCCAAAGCCCAACAGGATGGAGAAATAAAGGAGAAGGGATTATGTGACCACGCCCACTGGAGGGTGCTTTCTCCTTTTTCCTCTGCCTCTCTAGCTAGCAAATGCACCCTTTGGTAAATAAAAAAGAAGAAAAAAATAAAAAAGAGGTCTTCCAAGCAAAAAGCCACTCAAAGGTCTGATCAATTTACCTGAAGAGATAAGGAGAAAGATTTATACAGCACAAAAGCCTGTGAGTACTTTTTAAATATTTTTTTCCTATTCATAACAGAATGAGTGAGCATGTACAAAAGAAAGAGAGAGAGAGAGAAAGGAAGAGAGAGAAGCAGCCTCTGCAAGGTCTGGTTATGCTGCAATCCCCTTCCTTTGGTCTTCCATCCATTGGATCTTGGGCACTCACACACATACATGGTATGTTTCAGGTCCACCAGGCCAGGGATTCAAACTGCAGCTGCCATGTGGGATCCAGCTTCTCTTGAGCATTACTATAGCCCCAGAGTCAGTCCTGCATGTGTTTATATATTTTTTTGATTTCTCAAAAACAAAATAAAAGAGAAGGTAATAGAAAGCTAAACATAAAATAACTTCTTTTGGTTAGAAAAAGAAAATTTGTAAATCATTATCTCCACTATTTTTATTTAACTCACTATATAGTTTAAGTGCAGAAAAAATCTCATCTTAGAACATTTTATTTGGGGGCAGGGTTGGTTTTTGCTACAGAGCGTACGCGCCTGCCAGAGAGACAGAGGGAAAGCAAGAAATTAGTCCCAGGTGGGATGGCCACACCACAATCCCTTCTCTATTCTCCTCTTGGGATCTTGGGTATGCACACACACATGCCCAGTGTGAATTTGAAGCCACCAGGTCTAGGACTCAAACCATAGTCAGCACGTGGGATCCAGCAACCTAACTGCTACACCATCTGCTGGCTCCTCATCTTTGAAATTCTTAAGAATCCACTTCCTTCCTAACATTTCTGAGCGATTTCTGCAATAAGAAGTTAAATAGCACAGGGTCAACCCATGCCTAGTGGTTAAGGCAGCTGGATCTCACATTGAAAATCATGTGGTTTGAATCCCAGATACAGGAGCTAGCTAAAGAAAACACACTAGGTGTGTATGCACAGAGGCTTAAAATCCCGAAGGCAGGGAGAAACAGAGAGAAGAGATTACCAGATGACCATTTCCCATGAAGGTTACTTTCTCCCTGTTCTCTCCTCAGCCCTCTGGCAAGCACATGTGCAGGCTCAACCCATGACTGGTGGTTGAGGCAGCTGGATCTCACATTGACAAATCTTGTGGTTTGAGTCCCAAATACAGCAGGTAAAGAAAACACACTAGGGGGATCAGCAGTTAAAGTAATGGCTATGTCGCTGGACTCCCATTTAGTTGACCTCGGTTCGAGTCCCGGACCCGGTGGCTTGAACTCACGCCGGGCGCGTGTGCGTGTGTGCCCAAGATCCTGAGAGGAGAAGGGATTGCGGCATGGCCATCCCCTACGG